CCACGTATAGTTTCTAAATTATAAATTTTAATCTAAACAAACGTTAGATATTCAATAAATATATTACAACAAATTCGTTACATGACAGTATTTCAGAATTTTGCCTTTGTAACAGCATTATTTCAGAAAAAAAGGAATTCACTACTGAAAAAGTAAGAAAAAAAACGGAATTTACATCATTTACTAAATCCACAATCTTGAGTTTTTGAACTAGGTTTTAACAGAAAAATACCTTCATACAGTACTTCATGAGAATCATGACATAACAAATTATCTAGACAATACAAGCTAATAACGGTTTTCCAGAATTATGCAAGCATAATTATCATTGTGTTTTGTATTAAGCTACATAAAACTATCTGCACTCAGTTCTCTGTAGGAAATCGAACCGCGGGTTTTAGCGTTCGAAGTCCGTAAAGTTACCACTGAACCATGAAAAACGTGAGTCAAATAAGATAAAATGGTACTATACTGTAAATATTATAAAATATTGAACTATTTTAGAGTAGTTTCATGTATATGGCTTTGTTTAATTATTGTTACATGTTGTATAATACATAAAATTAATATATGTTCACCTGAGGATGCCTTTGGAATCATATAGGTCAATTTGAATGACTGCTTTATTATTGCGCTTGTCTTGGTCATTTTTTGTTATTATTTGTTTTGTTTTAATGTTTTTTATAATTATATGTTATTGATTTTGTTTATGCCAAAGATGTGAAATAATTTACCATTATTATCTCTCAAAATAAATCCGAATAACTGATAAATATAAAACAACGAAATATTCTTTATAAATAAATAAATGAAAGGCTCGTCCTTTCAGCCATGGGGGCGTTATAATGTGACTGTCAATCCCACTATTCGTTGGTAAAAAGAGTTGACGGTGGGTGGTGATGACTAGCTGCCTTCTATTGTCTTACACTGCTAAATTAGGGACAGATAGCCCACGTGCAGCTTTGCGCGAAATTCAAACCAAACCATATATAATTAGATTGGACAAATAGTATCTGTTTGTTTTAATGCAAAGCTACACAAGGGGCTATCTTCGCTTTGTCCATCACGGAAATCTAACCCCGGATTTTAACGTTGTAAGTCTCCAAATTTATCGCTGACCCAACAAAATGCAAACATCCGCCATTACCCCATTGACCTGAAATTGGTATCAAAATTCCATATTTTGATGTCTCCACAGAGAGACATACTGTTTTTTGTATTGTTTCTTATTCTTCCAAATACCTTTAATTCGACCGCCATTCTTTAAATTACGCTCAGATGCTTTTTTAATTTTTGTTTTCGCTTAAACCATTTAAAGGATTTTATGGGGTCATAAGTGAAACAACCTAAAATGTGTATTATGGGCCCCTGTGCGGTCATATTTACAGAGATCAAGAAATTTTCATGCACCCAACACATTGATTTAAAATAAGTTGGATATTTCCGTTTTAGGAGGGTCAGAGCTCACAAAAAAAGCATAATTTTGAGGGTTTTAGTCAATTACTTAGCCATATTTTAATCATTTTACATGGGATTTGGTACAAAGATACTTTTTCATAGGTTCCATACATTTACAGACAAAAATAGTGGACCTGCTACGTTTTAATAATAATAGGGGGATAAAGATGTCACAAAAAGTATAATTTTAGGGTTTTTTGACAATTACTCCGCCGTATTTCGGCCAGTTTACGTGAGATTTTTTACAAAAATATTTTTTATATGTCCTATACATATATTTCGAAAATGTGAGATATGATCATTTTTTATCATTTTAGAGGCGTCAAAAATTTACATAATCTCATAATTTGGGTGGTTTTGCTCAATTACTTAGCCTTTTTTTCGACCAATTTACGTGAAATTTAGTACAAAGATACCTTTTGCAGGTCTCAAACATAGATGTAAGCATTTTTTTGAAATTTTTGTCTTTTGCTTAATTTCTCGGCGATGAAAGCACAATTTGGGGTTTTCGTGAATTATTTATGTGTATGTCAACCAACTTACATGGGATTTGGTACAAAGATACCTGCTCGCAGATCCCAAGTAGTGTTATAGACAGTTTTTTATTTCTCTGGTGTCAAAATAGGCCATGTTAGGACTGTGTGGCTGAGACATGTTGCATTCGCCCACGAATGTTGGCCTTTTTAATTTTCTATGAATTTCAGTGAGATACTTCTTAAACACTAGCTCTGATGCTGACTTTTGATCACTTATCTTGCCAGTTTTCTTTTCTTTTTACAGCACTCAGTTAAAGACTTGAACAAAAAATACACAAGAAATCATAGCATTAATTAGTGAGATTAGTGAAATGTTAGTGGTATTTTTGTTTAGATTTCTTGTGGTTTATGTTATTAGGGACTCTGAATGGTAGTTTTAGGATTAAGATAAATGTGAATTTTGTGAATTAGTTAAGTGTAGAAGTTTTATTTTTTTGTCATAGTGCAACAGTTCATATGAATTTTGAAAACCTGTTGATCAATGAATAAGTGAAAAGTTATACAATGGAGTATCTGTGCTCTGCCCACCGCAGGCAAGAAAACCTGATATTTAGCGTTATAAACCTTCAGACTGACGGTTCAACCACCGGAGACACAATTAATTAATTAAGATCTATATTTTCTTGGGCTTGCAAAAGTGAAAAAATACAGGAAGGAAAACTTGCTGTATAGTAAGTTTAATATCATTGCATTTAAATGCATGATGGGTTTTAAAAAAATTTTACTCATTTTTTTCAAGATCTATATGTCTATTCTTTATTTTTGTATTTATTGGCTGTTTATTTCCCAATGCCCCAAAATGCCAGTTATCTGAAGCAATTTTTTTTAATATGCAAGTAATTTAGATAACCATTTTCAGTGAGACTGAGCAAAAGAAAATTAATAACTTCAACATAAATTATTTTACAAAAAATATGTATAATTATAGCTTAAATTTATTTATGTATAATAGTTTCAAAATTAGTTTGTATATAGAAATGGAATTGAAAATGACCAGTGATATAAAGCACTTTCTAATTACAAAAAAACCGCGATAGTTCAAACATATCTATGAAAAAGTTTCATTCTAGAACAAGCTGTAGACATTAAGTTAAGTAGAAATTCTAAGTATAACTTCTTTTAATTCATAAACTTAACTTGATCATTTTTCATAAGAAATTAGTGTTTTATAAATAATCTCTAATATAAATTTGATTATAATAATATACACACAGTACAACACTAATAAAAGGCGCGTTAGCGATAGATTTGCTGATTTTTTAATGGTCTGTTGAAGTCATGTGACTTATTTTGTACTTGTGACGCCAAGAATTTCGCGCGTGAAACGTTTATTCCAGGGTTTTGATTAACAAAGGAGTGTTGCTAGAAAGAAATTTAGTTACAGATGGTGAGTTTACTATTTGTTCAGATCTCTTGACATATTGTTATCATATCTAAAGTCAATGATAAGTTGTTATTCGTTTTTGTTTGATGTATATATTACTTTTCTTCAGGCTGGTGGAAAAGCAGGGAAAGATTCTGGAAAAGCAAAGGCAAAGGCCGTATCTCGATCGGCTAGAGCCGGTTTACAGGTAGGACCCCCAAGTTTAACCATTCTAGCCTTCCAAAGTTAAAACGTTGTAGAAAAAGTTGAAAGAGGTCAAGCAAATATTTATGTTATATTTTAAATTACTGGTTATACCTACGAATTAGAATATGTGTAACTTGTAGGCTATATATATAATAGGAGATGTGCTAAGTAAAAAAGTACCAGTCAACTCCCACCACTGCATAGTAATATTAGTATTACTACTACTAGTAATAACTTAAGGCTTTATTACAGTGTTACTCTAGCATTAGTATTTAATAGTAACATTATTGCACTGAACTTTTTCAGCGAGTTTCCGTTAGACTTTATTGCTACCAAGTAAAAATAATACTCCTAGAAATAGTAGTAAGCTACCTAGTTTAAGTTAATGCAATATTTTGAAATAAAAGAAGTTAGGTAGTTATTTTTTCATGTTTTGTTACTATATATATATATAATTAAGCTACAGGTATTTTGATGAACTTGTAATTATTGTGAAATGATTAGATTTAGAAAGTCAGACCCTAAATATAGTTGTTTTTGTTGGTAACACAAATTTTTGAAATTTTAGAACAACTAAGCAGCTTATCTAAACCACTTTTATTTCACAAAAGTATGTGTGTGTGCTTATAACGGACAGTCTGTTGGACTGATTATAAGATTGTCACCAAATGTGGCATGTAGTGCACATAGAACTCTCCAGAGAGATGGAGGACAACATTGGGATCTAACCATGTCACACCCAGGGGCTCTTATGTCTTCCCTGTGTGTTGAATGGGTGTGTCAGCTCGTTTATTAATTTAATATGAATTATCATATTGTAAAAGTTTTAAATATACATATCATTGGAGCAAAGAACAATGACAATATCTGATGTTAACAAAATAAAATATGGACCAAATGAGTTAGATATGGGACAGAAAAGCTCAAATTAAGATATTAATTTCTAATTAAAGGAAACTACCTATGTGTTAATGCAAATAATGGGTAATAACAGTCAAAATTGTATCTAGCACTGGCAAAAATAACTCGGTTCAACTATTGTAATGTATTACTTAGCAACAGTTCTGTAAAGAATGCCACTTGTAATTGTTATAATTTATGTTGTTTTTGTTATAATGATATCATTTACCTATTAAACTTACCCGACATTATTTTATTGCTGTTTTTTGTATATTTTTCTTGTTTTTTTATGATTTTTGTGGTATTTTGATGTTAAGATTGGGTCCCAATATGTTTATGTTTTGTAGTGGGATGTAAATATCTTATTATATTGCAAATGTTGTGCTTCATTTTTTTTTCTTCTTATTTTCACCTTTAACTTTATGGAGATTGTGTAAATAGTAAAACTGCCTATGATTTGTTTTTGTTTCCATTAAAAAAATTTATTGTGAGGGTAGCATCTCAATATGAATCTTTTTCCAGTTCTATCATTTTTGAAGTATATTCACAGATATAACTGTTTCAGTTAATCAACAAAAAATATAATCATGGCTTATCTCTAAATACTTTCTAAGCCAACATTTACTTCCATGTGTCAATCCATAAAATTAAAAGTCAGAGCTGTAGTGCTGAAAAACAAAAAAAAATCCAGTAAAGTGTGGTGACCTAAATATTGATTAAAAACTTGTCAGGTATTTACAACTATTTAGATCTGGTTTGGTAATTCATGCAACCATTCATTTGATATGTTAAGACCATAAATCTAAAATCAGAGAAAGAAAAAGATTGTTTCAGAATTCTTAATAGATTACCTTTACTAGTAATCAGAGCAAAACTGTCTACTTCTTGTAATAACTAAGTTGATGAAATATTTAGTTTACAATATTTCAAGATGGCTTATAGGCAGTGACGTGTATTTTTAACTTGTATAGTACATCGTGATTTATTAAGAATGAAAAAACTTTCTTGATGAATATAATTTAATTATAATTACCAAAATTTAATTTAAACAAATACATTTTCTAACTACTTGGTGAATGCATAAAAATAAGAATAAAAATGTATTATACAATAGAAATACTTTGAAATATTTTAACATTGTATAGTAATTAGAATAAAAGATGCTATTTGAAAAACACAACACTTTATAAAATGGAAATTTTGCCTACAAGTGATGTGTTTCTGTTATGCAACTAACATTGGAGATATTTGCAGAAATAAACTTGCCTGCTGCCACATTTTAATTTTTTCTGTGTCTATTGAATCCCATAATGTTTTTTATAATGTGAGTGCTATCTTAGAAGTCTTCTGTATGTTGTTCAGCATTATGAGAGGTGATGTTAAAAGCTGTTATTTAAAGATGACACTGAATATTTTGTCATAATTTGTTTATGCTAGAGTCAAGATCCTTTTGTAATGTTTCAGTGTGTTTAAACCTTTGAAATATACAATATTCAAAACATAACCATTCAACCAATTTTATGTACATCCTTTAAGTCAACCAATGAAATTTCAGATTGCACAGTAGAGCCAATAACATGGCTACACATAAGAAATTACAGTATCCAATAAAACTGTCAAGTTGCTTAATGAGTTGTTTTTAGTGCATGGTGAAATAATGTTACTTGCACCATTCAGTAATGCTGAAGAAGTATCATATGCTAGTAGAGTAGAGAACTAAAGTGAGAAGACCATGTAATGGTGAAATGAAAAATACGTTCAAAGAGAGAAGAATACTTCTACTGAAAATGACACATTAGTTATCAACTTGCCGATTCCTTTTATAGGGGATTTAGTGATAATTATAAGTGCTATTTGCCTGTTTTCATACAGAATACAGAAGTTGACTCTGCTGACGTAAAATACACTTTTGTTGATTGTGGAGCATGAAAGAGATCAATCTGGACTAAGATTGGAGCAAGTAATTCAGCTTTAGACTTTCCACATTTATTTGAAGAACATTTATAGCCACTAATGCTAGAGTGTATATTAGCTAAGGCAAGGTGTATAATATATATATAAGAATTTGTAATAAGGAATGGACTGTATGATCTCTGAGTCAGTAGTGATTGTAGTAGTCTCCTTGTAAAAAGTCGGTTCCACCATAGAGAGAGCATGATTGTCAGAATGACCTACCTATAATAACCTGTTGTGCAGGCATAGAGTAAATGGGATGTTATACACACAATATATGTAGTGTTTATAAAATATTGGACAAAGTTTTAAGTACATTATACTGCATTTGTTAAAAATCGATGTGTACATTTGGTGTGTTTTAGTTTCCTGTGGGAAGAATTCATCGTCACTTGAAAAGTAGAACAACCAGTCATGGTCGAGTGGGTGCTACAGCAGCTGTTTACAGTGCTGCAATTTTAGAATACTTGACTGCTGAGGTTAGTACATTTCTATGGTAATATCAAGATTTCTAGGTGTGTTTTGCATTCAGATCGTGACTATAGATATACTGCTAAAAATAACTTCTAAAATATGAGATGTTCTATTCTTTTTCATAATGTTTTAAGTGTAAGGAATGTTAGGATTTTTGTTTTATAATTTTTATAAAAGTAAATATATCTTGTAATCTCTTACTACTGTAAAACACGTATAAAACTTTTCCAAGGTACTGGAATTGGCTGGAAATGCTAGCAAAGATCTCAAGGTTAAAAGGATAACACCCCGTCATCTTCAGTTAGCCATCCGTGGAGATGAAGAGTTGGACTCACTGATCAAGGCTACTATTGCTGGTGGAGGTAAACATAAAAGCAATTCTTAATAATTTTGTCTAGAATACTCATTGTTTCTTATTGCTTTATGGATGGTTATATTTTAGATTAAAATAATGTTTTGCTTCAAACTTTTTAAATTAAATGGTTGTGTAATTACACAGTATCTGTATCAATAAGTATGACAATACTTAATAACAGAGATTGTTATGAAACAAAATTGCCTGTTTAAAACCACCTTTAAAATGTCTGAATATTAACAATGACTATTTCACAATATTGGTTGACCAAAGCTAAAGCTTATTGTACGTATAAAGCCAACTAAATCACTATACACATTTATTTAGTGAATCAAAATTTCTGTATTTCAACAAATTTTCATCTAAGTCAGTAAGTAAGTGAATTTTCCAGACAAGTGTACAGAACAAATTATTATCTTTATTACTCTAATTCTTTCACAGAACTCTTCTCTGGGGTCCCAATGATTCCTTACTTGTACTTTAGGCATATAATTAGATTTCAGGGTAGGTTGTTAGAGATCCTGATGAGTAATAAAATCAAATTGGGTATATATGTGTGTCCCATGCTTGGTATTGCTGCTGACTAGATTTTTTTTAACTTACTTAACTTCAATGAACTAGCTTATTTAAAATACTTTATCCAATACCAATTTAAATTAAGTTGTCCGTTTTTCAATAATATATATTAGAATTGGGAAGTGTATATTAAATTTTGGTAAAGTTTAATAAGTGGACCGAAAATGGTAGTACTAAAGTACTATTTGATATATTACAGTTATAATTTCAATGTGCATAATTTTAAAAATATATTAAAGAATGCAAGACTTGAATGAATTCCTATCAGCAAACAAATCTTAAATGAAAAAAGGTGATGGGCAGAATCAATTTTAGCTCTAAAAATGACCAGATTTTAAATTGATATAAAATCTGTTTTTTAGTCCCTCCCCTGTTTTTGCTAAGTGTTTTTAGGAAATCATTCTGGGACTGGTGGTCAATCCCACTATTGGTAAAAGAGGAACCCAAGAGTTGGCAGTGAGTAATCTTGACTAGCTGCCTTCAACCTAGTCTATCACTGCTAAAATAGGGATGGCTAGTAAAGATAGCCCTTGAGTAGCTTTGTGCAAAATTCAAACTGTATTATTAAAATGTATTTTCTTCCATAGGTGTTATTCCTCACATTCACAAGTCCTTGATTGGAAAGAAAGGATCCCAGAAAACAGGATAAAGAAGATTTTCTTTTTTTTTTCTTCTTTTTTCAAAGTTTACCAACAATCGTTTGTCATTTAAATATCAGTGTTATTCATCAATACTCCTCAGTGTGCTCAATCATTTTTTTAAATCTGCACTTTTATCACAATGCAAGTCACTGTGTTCATATGCAAGTGTATAATTTTACATTTTCTAAGTTCAGGTTATACTTCTGTGTGTTCATGTAACATAACCACAGTACCAGTCACTATTGTTAATTAAAATGATTTTATGGAACTGTTGCTTGTGATGAATTATTTGTAAAATAATTTACTAATGGGGTGCAATATCTTACCTAACTTAGATTTTTCTTAAATTGCCATATCATATTATATGAATTCAGTACAAAGTTATTAAACCTTTCAATGCCTGGTACTAAACATAGCTACTTATGCTGTAATAACTATGAAGGCTAATGTATACATTTCTTTTCTTTGCCAAATATATAAAGTAGTGGTCTAATCAATTGTCTGACTTGCTACTCCAACTGCAGATCATATAATAGGTTAGACCTTTAACTTCCGTGTAATTCATGCTTTGGTTAAGGAAAGAAATTAACAAATACATAAACAGTTAGTCCACTGAATAATGATGGACAGTTAATTGTGATGGTATATTACATTATCCAAATACATAGTAAGGTATTTAGTGTTGAGTAAAATACTACACATCTAAAACAAGGTTAAAATATGGTATTAAGAAAACATTTTGAGATGTTTTTCTTCATCGGAAATTAATTTAATAGTGACCAATGTAATAGCTATTATGTACTACAGCATATATTGTAAACATGTTATGTCTGAATGTGAGTGTACAAGTCTTGATTAGTCTATTAATATATACACTAATTTTAATCTTCTTGCAATAAGAAATGAAAATGCAGACGATAAATGTGTGCTATAAAAATAGGCGAGGTTTGGCACTGACAAATGTGTACCTCTAAAATGTCTATTCAAAGTACAGGGTATGCTTTAAGCTTTGTAATGTTCCTATATGAAAAAAATTAGGATGTAGTTACTACTTTACCATAATTGAACAAAGACTGGTTGTATAAGGGAACTTAAAAGTTTTGTTGTTGTTATTATCAAAGGTTGTATGTATAAACCATCAAAACATTACTTCAATTTAAAGAATTTATACCTACTATAACAAAACGCAGTATTTAACAATTATAATAATCACGTCACTACTATTTTACCCTTATGATATCAAAATTCAATAAGATAAAGCATGCTCATTGTGTTAAAATTAGAACCATAACAAAATTTTTCTATAATATATGGATGTGCCCAATGCATCATTTCAGGTAAAGTTGTGTGTGCAGTTTTTTTTTATATTGCTAGTATTGTCATAGTATTTCAAAAAATACTAGTATTTCTACAGTACTTCGCACTACAAGCATTTATTCTGTCTAGTACATTAAGGACATAATTGTACTATTTTATTCAACTAGAAATATATTTTACCCAAACCAACATTTTTAACTTAAAAATTACTTTCAAAACAAACTTAAGGAAAAAAGGTTTAACATGAATATTTACTATAGTAAGTATATGTAATTTGTGTGTGTGTGTATATACACACTATTTTTCAGGTTTCCTTCAAGAACCTAGTACGTAATTTTACAGTTTTGTAAAACCAACGTTCTGTGACATACTAATTAATGAAAAAAATTTGCTCATATTTTTATAACTTGGGATGTAGCGGGGCCTAATTGGAAACAACTTCTAGAAGTTTCAGACTATTGTAGATAACACAGGTACTATCATACTTCTTTCAGTTTCCTTACAATGTTCATTTTCCAAAATTTCATTCTTGTCCAACAGTTAGAAAAAAAGCCCAGATATGATGTAATCATTACAGTATTACATTAATAATTAAGTTACTTCACTTGAATGACACCTCTATTATAATACACATGATCTGCTCTCCTGCTTCACACGAGTTTCTTTTTCAAATGTAATTCAATAAGCAACTGTAACTTATAATAACAACAGAAGTAAATTAGTTTTAAAATATAAAGATAAACACCTTTTCTGAAACATATTTCAAGGCTTACTAGTCAAACACTATTATAATTAGAAATACAGTTCTTGAATGGATGTGCCTATTATTACTCAAGCGTGTAAAAATATGGTGTAAATACTCAGGTTTCCCTTATATTCATAGTGTATTCTTTTCTTTTTTTTTACAATTAGTGTTTAGCAAATTTATTCAAACAAAATGATAAATATCATTTATAAAATTCTGTAATTTAACAAATTTTTAAACCTGCCAAACTCATGTAAAAAATGTTTATTTTTAACACAAAAACAAACTATATAATCAACAGCTCTTTTAAAGGCACCACAAAGAAAAAATGTAGGTAATGCTCAAGCACACAAATAGAAACATAATGCTTATTTACATTAATTCATCACACTCCTATGACTGGAATAAGAACTTCTTTTGAAAGACATAAAGCAGGTCTGGAGTTATCTTGGCTTCAAACTGAAAGATAGGCAAGCCATAACTTCTTACCTTTTTAAAAAAAAAACATTTCATCAAAAATTCCCTTTTTTTTTGGTCATGTTAGTATAATGACTAAATAAAGCTTCACCCTTAAAAAATATTTATTTTTTGCCATTTCTCTGTTCTCTTGGAAACCAGACACCCTTTTATACAAGGATCTTCTGAATTTAGCTTTTGTCTCCAGATGTTGAAGTTGATTGAGAAGTAACTACAACATGGTGGGGATTAGTTGGTGGGGCTGGTTTTATAAACTTTTCCTGAGAGCTGCTTGGTCGAGTTGTAGCTGTTGATGCTCCCTGGTGAATACGCTGAAATAAATAAGTAATCTATAAGAAAAAACTAAATCACTAACTTACTGTTTTATATTAATACCTTTGCTATGCTAGCATTTGTTTTTGTTCAGATCTTAATTTGGATTACAAGATTTATATATTTTAAACACTCTTAAAACTACAGAAACTTTCTGAATATGTTGAAAAATATAAAACATACATGCTCCTGACAAGGTATTTTCTCCTAATGAAATTCAAAGGCAATTGAGTTACTGGAAGGGATCAGTTACCTATATGCTAATTTAACCTATTACTTTGAACAATTATAAATAGACACAAAAGTAATCAGAAGTTAACAAACCTTATTATGGTTTAAATATGTTAAAATTTGGAGCTCCTATATTGAATATTAAACTCAGTTTATGGATTGTTCTAACTTTTCAACTACTGCATAAACAATTTCAGTTTAAAAAATATTATGAAATTATTTGAGACCACAATGTTCAGAGTGACAAAGTTCAATTGTAGTTAAACTGGGGAAGAGTAGTTCTGATAGCGAAAAAAAGAAAATAGACAGATAATAACCCGTGACATATATATAGTTGGACAGTTTTACACATTGACACATCTAAATTATATCCGCTAGAAGCATCTTCTACTTTTAATATGCAGTTTGAAACATTTTTGGCCAAATGTGAAAAAAAAAAAGTTGACATCTGTCATACAGTAAGAAAGGCAAAATTGTACTTCTTTTTCTATCATGTTTTCCAGCAAATGTGGTGACTTTTGAAACACTGTATCTATATTACACAACATTTCACTATTTTGTCAACAAAATAAACCAGAAAATGTGTCTACTGTGACATTTATATCACTTATATTAAACCATTCATGTTTTAAAAATAATTTATTTCTTCTAACTTGATTTCTGTGTCTGATATCTCTACTTTATATGGCTGGGCTCTTTTAATAACATGCATTTTTCACACTAATGACTAAAATTATGATAACATCTCATAACTTCTTGAAAGACAGAACACTGAGTACAAAGAATATTGTACTGGTAACATTTTGGCTCTTTTGTATTTGATCAATATTTTAGAACAGAAAAAGTTCTAACTGTTACGTGCTGGTTTCACCATGTGAGGAAATAAAGCAATAATATTTTTTCTCTTAAAGAAGTAAAGCCTATAATACATATTTTTAAGCCATAGCTGAAACAGCAGAATACAAGAATATGAAGTTAGAAACCAGCAAGGTGAAACTACTATTACTGAATATTTTTAACAGTTGTATTTGATTGAAAAGTACAGCTGCAAAGACTAGACTATAAATTCAAACACACATTGGAAAAAAATTTACATGACTTCATAAGGGAAATTAAAAGTTAATGCATTAGCAATCTGAAACAACACAAAATTAATATTGTTGAAGACTTACAGACATGTAACCTACATTATTCTGTTCAGAACTGGATAGAAATCTTGAGGTTAAATAAGATAAACAGACTGATAAGTGAGAAATAAAGTCTGAGAAAGCTGTAACAGTAGACAATATAAAGATTTGTGTGTGTTTGTTCAGGCATGACATTTCTCAACCCATAATTCAAGCACGTAATATTTTTCAGTGCACTGCTAAAGTATAGGAAAATCGTTATCATTTACCTCTTATATGAACATACTTTAAAAAAAAAAACCTGTCATGAGGAACAAGCACAACATATAAAACCACCAAAACATCAGTTTAATGAAAACTTGTTGCTTTGCACAAAATGAACAGAAGTATGAGCTAAACAGCAACAGTACAAAACCTACAAGTAAACAAGACAGAAGTAATTATATTAGAAAAATAACTAAAGATGGCACTTTTATAGTTTTTAAATGTGGTAACATAATGATAATTATGTAATGTAATATTTGTTTCACATTCAAGTAAACTTGATGATTAACTTCTTCTGATCAGAGCAAGCTATGTACTATATACTTCCAAAGATGTAATGAAATACTTCCCTCAATATCCAAGTAAACTTTTCTTTTCTTGCAGCAAGTAGTGAAAAATTTATTGTGAATTAAACATTCTAAATTTCATCATTTTGTGACATTTTTTTTTTTATTTACAAAAAATGCCTCTACTATTAGTGTCTGATATAAATTTTTTCATGTGAAAAACTAGAGTTATGTTTTATCATGCAAAGTTCATTACTTTATTGGTCTGTCAAAAGAGAAAAAGAAACGTGTTATTCATTGAAGCTGTTTCCTGTAGCCTTTTCTTTTATATCTAGTACAAATAAAGAAATTGTATTGGAAACGTACGGTAGAATGGATGTTCAACAGAGATGGTGGTGGTGACGTACTGGGTAAATAACCACTTGGAGCAATAATTTGATAAATAGGCTGCATGCAATGTGGACAGTGACCCAATGGACTTGGAGAGCTGATCATATCTGGATTTCCAAATCCCACACCTGAAACACAACCGTAACATGATACACCATTATAATACTAAATAAAATAACCGAATGCACATTTTTTAATTGAAACTTAAAACCAAAACCTAAGTATAAAAATTATATTGTACTACTACTTTATTTCTAAAGTACAAAAACAAAGATATGAAAAATCCTACTGTAGATTTTAAAAATAAACCCATTATGTGTTTCAACAAAATAAAAAAATTATCAGAGGAAATGCAGCTTAATACATAAATTACATTTAGTTAAGATAGCCATAATTTGTTTGTGTTTAATTATTATTTTTTCATCACTGAATAACTTGAAATTCCAGTCCATAATTTCACTGTAAGAGAAAAATTATTTGAAAAAAATACTATCAGGTAGTAATTTAAAACATGTTGTATAATGAAAAAACAACAACCATAAACTCAAAAACAAGGTTATATTTATTTCACTCAATATTTCATTTCTTAAACTTCTTCAGAAGTGAACAACTACACTCGCAATGTGTACCAGACTATACACTTTTAAGTTTGTTCTACAGACTAATGGAGAGTTTGGAACAAGATGATATTATTATTATTTACGTTCTCTAATGACAACCGTAGGTGTGCAGCCTAAAATTATATTGAATATAATAAGAATATTGAACCAAAGAAAAATACAGAACAAAACATAAATGAATTAACCCATTCACTGTGGCTGGGTTGTATATTTCCCAGTGCTCCCACCCCATCACATTGTGACTGGGACAAACGTTTCCCATTGTCAATGCTGTTTATGCCTTCCTCTGCTGGGTCCAGGTTCATCGTCTTGGCTATCATCACTAGCTAGCATCTTCTAGTCTCATTGCCTCTTCATCATCACACATTTGAGCACCACTTGACTCGATTTCATTATCTTCCAAGTTATCTGAGTCAGCGCACTAAATATATTTACAAAGTAATTAGGGTTACTACTTGCTGTTCTAGCAATGTGGCCATGATCAGCACACAGTTGTCATACATTCTGATTAGGTATCTTGTTGGTTAGTGAAGGGCTGGAAAACATTGAGGGAAACCATATATCAAAATTAGGTGGGATGCCAATAAATACTTTCCCCAACTCATTTTACTCCCATACGTCATGCACGACAATTTCGAATGACAATGGGAAACATTTGTCCCAATTGCAGTGTCAGGGGGTGGGACAACTGGGAAATATACGTGCCAATCATAGTTAAAGGGAATAAACACAGATTAATGCTCATCCTGTGTTGCAACTAATTTGAAGCATAAGTTTTGAAATAAGTAATGCTTCTTTATATGCACGTCAAGAAAATCATCAACTATAGCAAGGTTTTCTACTTGTAAAAAAGACAGTTATCACTCTACCTCGCTTTTCTACATAATGATCCGTTATGGCATTGGCACCTTTGTTGAGTTAAAATACTTACATGTTCAACAAATCTGTCGTGAAATGCATGAGATGTTTCTCATGTATAAAATCTAGTGCATATTATACAAGTTACTGTATAACTAACAATTTTTATTGTGCATTTATCATCTGTTCCTGCATCTTTAGGCAAACGATTTTTTCTTGCAATCATTATCTGAATTGTATGCAGAAGGTATCAATATTTCTTTTAAGGTTCTGCTTGGTTTTTGTACAAGTCTTAAAGGTAAACCTGACCTTCGTGTAACTGATCACGAGTTGTTTCTTTTTAAGTCTATCACTGATGTATGGGATAATCTAAGTCACAAAGGTATGTGTGTGTTATCATATTTACAAGTTGTAAGTTTCTTCTTTTAATTGTCTTTGCAGCACTTTAGAATGCATCAGAGGTAAACTATCGGAGTAACTATTCAGTTCGAGTTACGTTATACATCTTTCATTTCCTCAAGTCTTCTTTTTTTTAGAATTACATATTTGTTTGATCTTCATATGTACTGTGATAGCTGCTTTTTGTTTTCCTATGAGTAGGTAATGTGAATCTGAGTATAGGAAAAGTGGTCTAGATGAGTGCTTTTTGTATACACTTGTAAGTTTACTTTGCAAATAATCAAGAACACCTAGGAAATTGAGTTTTGTTTTAATGTAGACAATGCTATTTACATGACCTCCATTGTCCTACAAACCATATTTAAAAGTGGACAGTTTGTTATGTATTATGAGTCTAGCAGTATAAGTAGAAAGTCACTCCTGATTAGAAATGTAACATTGAATGAAATAAAAATAACATTGTTATTGTATTTATGGTCCATTTTTCATCAAAAAATTGAACAACTGATATGTACTTTTACTGCTTAAAATTATACAATATAATCCAATTCAATAGTTAAACAAATTCTGCTCCTTATTCATATAAAATTCTGAAAGTAGAATTAAATAAGTAATCAATAGTAAAGTCATATTTACCTGGGCTTAATGGTCTAGAAGAGTTAGGAGAGGACTTATACGGAATTGGACTGGAGACAGTCCTCTGCCGAACATTATAGCCTTGAGACATCTCATTAAAATGCCTGAATAAAGAAATACTCATGAATTAGTCTTCAATTAGGTAATCAAGTAACTGCTATTATAACTGTTAGTCTTTGAGTATACACAAGGTTCTTATGTAACATCTGTATGCATTGTAACTACATTTCTGACTAAACATGCACATCAATGTACAAGGGCATATCTAGGATTTTAGTTCAGGGGGCCCCAACCTCTAAAAAATTTATTGTAATGTATGAAAACGTGAATTATTTTCTGAACAATATTTTAAAGAATAAGCATATTCTGGCTACGATGAATCATTTCAGAAAACATTTACAAATTGAACCCCACATACTTATCATGGAACAAATCTGCAAATGTAGGTAAGTTCTGGTTAAAAACATTGAACTCTATATAACTACAGTTTTGTACTAATGTTAATTTATAATTTTTACATTAGTTGTAATTATCTAGATCTTTTTTTAAGGCAAATCTGAGACAAATATTTTGCTGAAAACATCTTGTTCTATCAAAACTTTAAAAACAACCTATGCAGTACATACAGTGTCAATGTCAAAATAAAAAAATGAGCACAATGAGTATACACTCCGCGAATAAGGTTTGATCAAGCCCTTCAAGTGCCATTCGCTTTTTTTTTTATTACAAAGTGGTATAAAACATTGTCATGTGTCACACAAGTCTCTATTGGAGGTCACATGTGCCAAAACATTAAGCTGTTTCACTCCCATTGTATTCCATTCATAGATGTTTTAAGGTGCTTAATAAGCAGTTAAAAGTTAAAAAGAAAAACTTATGGATTAGTGGAGAGGTTTTTTTGTTCCCAAAATAAAGTTTCTCTGCAACTGAAGCTTCTGTCCTTGGTCCACCTAACCTTCAATTTCTCTAGTTCACTTTGTAGTGATCCATCCAAGAAACTATCAAAATGCTTCACATTATCTTTGAACTATACATCAAGGTCAGGCACAAATTTTGGAGGCAATTTCTGTATAGTAAAATTTGTGCTTCTGTGCCTAACAAAATGTGCATCTACTTCTTGAGTGAGAAATTCAACATAACTTTCAAACAGTTCCTTATAATAGGTGATCAGATCTTTATCTGAGTATGAACAAGGCAAGGACAGTTGAGCAATGATATCTGTCACAAGCTGGCATGCTTTTTCATAGATCTAAATAAATCTGCTGCCTATATATACATTTATGATGTTGATACAGGTTTCAATAT